AGAGGAAGAGAGAGAGAGAGAGAGAGAGAGAGAGAAGAGAGAGAGAGAGAGAGAGAGAGAGAGAGAGAGAGAGAGAGAGAGAGAGAGAGAAGAGAGAGAGAGAGGAAAGAGAGAGAGAGAGGAAAGAGAGAGAGAGAGAGAGGAAAGAGAGAGAGAGAGAGAGAGAGAGAGAGAGAGAGAGAGAGAGAGAGAGAGAGAGAGAGAGAGAGAGAGAGAGAGAGAGAGAGAGAGAGAGAGAGAAGAGAGGAAAAGAGAGAGAGAGAGAGAGAGAGAGAGAGAGAGGAAAAGAGAGAGAGAGAGGAAAGAGAGAGAGAGAGAGAGAGAGAGAGAGAGAGAGAGAGAGAGAGAGAGAGAGAGAGAGGAAAAGAGAGAGAGAGAGAGAGGAAAGAGAGAGAGAGAGAGAGAGGAAAAGAGAGAGAGAGAGAGAGAGAGAGAGAGAGAGAGAGGAAAAGAGAGAGAGAGAGAAAAGAGAGAGAGAGAGAAAAGAGAGAGAGAGAGGAAAGAGAGAGAGAGAGAGAGAGAGAGAGAGAGAGAGAGAGAGAGAGAGAGAGAGAGAGAGAGAGCTGGAGATAGATACAGATAGATAGAGAGAGAGGGGCAAAGAGATACATGAATATGATTACATACCATATCTCTAACAATGAATATCAGAAGTAACAGGCAAAAGGATATGAAATAAAATTCAAACCTAGGAGGATCTCTTAATTTATTCACTCACATCAAGTCTGCAGACATATAACAAGTTTACACACAAAGGAGTTTGAACCAGTCACAGCATAAAAATATATCTATATATCTATACATACAGTAGGTTTCTACACAAAAAAATGGCATGGAAGATGTCATTTACAACAACCTTTAAAACCCTGCCTGCCCTGGGATTTATCATCATACGTCTTCGAGCATTTAGTTACTGACGAAATGAGAGTGAAAGAGCACACTATCAAGTGATATATAAAGTGTTACATACCTAGGCTGGAGCGCGTCATAAGACCGAGTTGTTGTCGTTATAATATTCAAAAGGTTCTGAACTCATGAAGTCATTATACATCGGGGAAGTGAATGCGAGGGCGGGGAGTTGATTTCATAGGAACCACCTCCCCTTTCAATCAGGTTTATGCCAATTCTATTCACAAGCCTTTCTTTTCTGTCACAGAAAGTAGTGAATGAAGTATTTATCAAAGGATTTCACATTTTAACCATGTACTTTTTTTTCCCCCTAAACATTCTGCCATTTATGTCTTAGTGTTCTTCTTTGTCTTTTTTGTTGTTTCTTTCTTCTTTTCACTTTAATTTAATTCTGAAAAGCATTGTGTGAAAATAGTTTAGTCCTGCAGCTCCCGACCTCCAACGTCCGCTGGAGATGGAATGAAAACGCTCAAATCACAACGTTATCACAGAATAATCTCTCATTCGCAGCTTATTAAATATACACAGCAATAATCAACCTCCTTATAAACTTTTAGACTACCCTAACCAGCCCCATACCCCCTCCCTTTCCCTATCTCTCATCCACACACTACCCATCAACTCTGAGAGAGAGAAAAAAGAAAAAGAAAAAAGAAAAAAAAAAAAAAAAAAAAGAAAGAAAGAAGAAAAAGAAAGAAAGAAAGAAAGAAAGAAAGAAAGAGAGAAAAAAATGAAAACCCCACAATGAATTATATACAACTTTTACACACGAAACCCTACAATACAAACAACCTACACATGCCAAAATACATAAAAATACATACATCCCAATACAACAAAACAAAAACAGCTTGAAAACAAAAGAGAGAGAGAGAGAGAGAGAAAACTAACTTCTTATAAAACATAACATTGATAGGTTTCTGTGATGTTTATGTCTGTGTTTTCTTTCTTTTTTGAGTTATTTTCCTGTGCTCGCACCACTGAAGACTAGAACTTAAAAGTGATTCCTTTTTTGTCATTTTGGGAAGACAACCTGGACACATTTTGCATTCCTCTTTTCAACTCACTTCTTTTTAAATTCCATTTTCCTATATCTAGAATTCTTTTAACAGGAGAGGTAACTGTACCAATGGAGATGATAAATATTTTTAGCCTCACTGTCACCTCATACCTGCACAATTTACACCACATGAAACAAAGTCTTTTTCTCATGAGCTCTCTTTAAATTACAAACATATAATGTACTAAGAATGCACTGACAATGATTAGCTTCGGTCTCTTTCTTTTCTGTGCTACACCAACTCCATATGGGACATCTTATTCATGATTCAGAAAGGCAAACTGTGTGAGAAACAGTGTGTACATTTCCCTACCCCTACCCCCCCAGTGATGACATACAAACAGAAGGGGAAGTGAGAGAAAAAGGGGAGGGAGAAGTGGAGACAACATAAGGAAGAGGAAAGAGACGAAAGGGGATAAGGGAGGGGTGAATCTAGGGTCTTATATAAAAAAGACACTTGAAAAAATAAATGTTCAATTTTGCCTCACAAGCAAAGTCCAAGAGCTACCACAAAGTTAGAAAAAAATATAT